ATAACCTTCTTAGCTTAGTGGTTATTATATGTACCATCTACTTTAATAATCAATAATGCTACACTATGCATTTATGGTTTCATATGTTTCACACTGTAAACGACAATTATTTCCTTAAACAGCGTTAACCATTTGATCTGCGTAATGGTCAAGTCCTGTGTTTTCTTAGCGGTACGGGCTGAATTCTTAAATACGGAGTTGAACTAAAATATCCTTGGCTGTGGAACAAAAACATTGACTATCTTTAACATAGCTTTATTTTTTAGTAACAAAGTTTGTGCTTAGCATAAACCAGTTTCTGAAAATGTTTTTATTTAATCCGGTTTAATGAGCGTATTTGTTTTGACTGTACTTTTAGCAGCGAAATGACTGTAATAAAAGAAATAGATGGAAAGCGAGAGAGAACGGTCGGAAATGAAGTAGGAAGATGAAGACACGCAAACAGAATTCTTAAGTCTTTTAAATTTTCTATGATACAGTAAAAAGAGAAAGTTTATTTGCAAGTCACATGGAAGAATGAATAAAAAGTATTTCGAAGTCGGGGAGTGTAGGTTTTACGGCGTCTGATACCGAAACGACGCTTTGTGCAAATGACGCACACACGGACATCAAAAGAAGGAAACAATCAAAGAATTCTTGCCTTTAAAAGGGATTCGAATTTGAAGACAATTAAGGGTAAAAAGTGAAGTCGTATTTATTCTTTGTCACTACGCCATACAGGCGTGTAGGATGGATGAAGTCTTTCTTAACCCAGTTATTAAATGGAGATGAATTTTAAACCGTTTCCCTCCTCTGTTTGTTTGAACCGAAGAATGTGAATGGTTGTTAATTAAATTTTCTTCGCATTGTATTTAATAAATAACACCCAATATTTCATCTGTGTTCACTGTCATCTTTATGGCGTATATCGCCGTGGTCATGGAGAGGGAGGGGTAAAAGTTTCCTTGAGCCAGATGAATTCAATTAATATCTTCAAACCGTTTTTCCTTAAAATTCATTTTAATATTATCCACTAAACTGTGCCTAGATCTTGTGAGTGTTTCTTTCCCTTTAGGTCTTCGAATCAAAATTTGGTATGCAATTTTTATCTATCCCGTGCGTGCTACATGCCTTGGTTTCCTTGACTTTGTCATCGTTGTAATATTTTACGAAGAGTACAAATTATTGAGCTTCTTATTATGTTAATGTATATATTCTTTCCTAAGGATGAATGTACGCTCGATGTAAAAATGTTCGTCCTGATGACGGAAGCAGCAAGAACCTCCGAATCGTTGATAAACTTATAGCAGAATACGTAGCGTAATTACCCAAAGGACGGTCATCTACACACTCGTCGCCGTGAGAACCTGAAATCTCGCCTACAAATGAATGTGTGGATGTGATTAACGTGTTTAATGGATTTATGAATGCATGGGCAGATAAAACGTGTTCATATTTCGTCATGATTTTAAAATACATATGTTTATGTATTAAGCAGGAAACATCATAGAAAAACTTTACAGCATAGTAAAATTTTGAATCGAATATTATCTAAATGGCAACATCAAATACAACTGAAGATTTGCTATTCTGTAGAGGACTATTGGACTACGTAACTGACACAAGGTAATTTTAAAAACAGTGAAATTGTTTAATTTTGAGATAGACTTTAATAATATCACTCGCTTGCGATCTGTTATTAATTTGGTAGTAACCAATGTTCATGTTCGTTGCGGTAGATTTCTATTCACGTCATGGTACACTGGTTGAGAAACATTGTATTAAGTGATCAGTTGCTTGTCATTCTGTCTATGCGATGTAATGTCGGAATGTGTAGCCCTTCGTAAGAGGACCGTCAGCTTTATCTGGCCCTGTTACCGCAGTCTCGAGTGCCTGCAGCTTTGCCACATGAAAGGCCTGTAGCTCTCTCTCTCACATTCTTGCACGGCTTTTTACTATTTACTCTTTCACATTCTCTCTTCGCTCTCCATGAGAAATTACAGTTTCCTACTACTTATCTAAATTACTTTATATTCTAAAGTGACTTTGGTAGTAAAGCCAGAAGGTTCAACACCGTTGATAGAATTGTGCGTCATTGAACATGATAATGCTCCATTTCCAACCACCTTCCATCCTAACAAATGTTTTCTTAAGATCCATCTCAATGCTGACTTCCCCTCCCAGTTTCGTTGGAAACTTATCGCATCTAAGATACTTTTAAATGACAATAATATTTTTAAATTAGATTATAGGTTAAATTAAGGCTGTTTCGTTTCGGAAAATTTTATCTTTTATTCAGGTCAGTAACTGTTACCTTTCCATGCCCTATTCAGTGGCCTTAATACTGAAAAGTGCAATTGTATTTAGTGTTTAAAGGAAGGAAGGCTACATATTTCAGGATTCTGGATGTAGGGGGAAGAATATATTAATTAAATGATGAGAGGTTTCATAATTTATTCTTTTAACCTAATATTATTTATATAATATAAATAAACTGTAAGATGATCGGAATATGTAGGACAAATGTAGAAAGCTTTGATCAGTCAACCTGAAATGACTGTGGAGTACCTAGGCATAGATAGAATGACAATATTAAAATGAATTTTAATGAAGATATATGTGAATATTTCTATTTGACTGGGCTGGCTTCGCTTACAGAAATTGCAATTACTAGACTACATTAGAATTTAAATTCTCTTTTGAATGCTACGAGAATTCAAATTACAGTCTTCACACTGAGCTTATTTTCGTTTTATTATTTAACTCATTTTCCTTTATGTCTGTATTTTGAAGTTTTATACTGCAATTTGGTTGTAGGAGGGGGGGGGGCTGTTGATTTGTAAAGTCACGTTGCTCATTTAATAAGTATGAGACAGGAAATGGAGTTGATGTGAACATGATGTGATGGAAAGTACCGGAGTGTTCCTGGATTTAACTCTGCTATTTCATGGGTGTGTGAAAACTTTTCCTTCTACAGTGACTTGACAAAGGACCGCTGATTGACTCTACACCATCTTCTTAGGAACGATCGAATTCATACATAAAACTGCACAGACTTTTTGGATTTACTCGTGACATCTGAGGTAGAAGAGTTTTACGTTTTGCCGTGATCGAATTTGCCACTTTTGAGTTCCTGCGTTTATCTCGACGCCACAATTTAACAATTTTATTTGACTTCAGTTATCTGTCGAAAATCATTCAAAGTAACAAAAGACTTTTTTTTACATAGTACATATTTGTACCACAATTAGAATAATCACGTGTCTGTCCTCCATAACAGTATTTTAACTATTAACAAATTTCTATGAAACTGATCCAGTAGCGAGCTCATGTATTTTCAGTGGACCTTATATTCTATGAAAAGTAGAGAATTCTTCCCGTTATCTAATTGCCAATATTAGCCTCTCAAGGAGGTCTGCGCTAAATTACACGAGGGATTCTTTATTCTATTTATTTCCTTTCATTTAATAGGAAGGTGTCATTTGACGATTTTTTATTGTTTCCTCCAGTGCTTCATATAGTTCATTGATTTCTTGGGCGCCGTGTAGTTCACAACCACGATCCTGGTGCATTTGCAACCTTAATACAAGATTAAGCACCTGTGTATAAGAAAGAAGCAACCTTAATACAAGATTAAGCACCTGTCTTTATGCATTGAAGTTAGTGTATAAGAAAGAAACATTTATTCAGCAGAGTCCAAATATTTTATTAACACTGTACAATTTGTGCGTACATCCTGATTAGAAAGGTTGAATTTGGAGGACTGAAAATTGCCCCTTTGTTGTTGTTTTTTCAAACTCATTCCAAAAGTTTACCTGAATCTTTCTTTCTATAACAAGAGACATTTTGTAAAGTATAAAATTGCGTATTTTTTTAAACGCAGTGGGTAGGTGGGACTAATAAAGCACTCCTAGAGAACAGAACACTCAAATGAAATTTAGATTTGTCTTCAGAACCAAGATTTTACCCTATGAAATACATAAATGAAATAATTTTCGACAGAGTAATAAGGTTTAAAATAAATTTGACTTCCATTTCCGTGTTCATAACTTCGCTCCTTTGAACACACTTTTTACGTATATCTCGGCGAAAAAAATGCGTGGTGATGGCTGTGCAAATGGAATTATAATTTCGAGCGTCAGCAGCTATTCTAAATATTAGCACACTTGGAAATGTGGTTTATAAAGGTCTCAAATGCGGAATTTCAAATTCCACAAAGAAATACTGTCCTTTATAGTCGACCCAGACTTCAGTTAAACTGGCTGAATTATTGAATTACTGATCTCTCAGTTCTGTGCTTTTCCAGATTGAAACATTTCCGCCAGTTCAACTCGTTTCGCATCCATTCTAACATAACTTTATGAAATCATTTCACCAGATTCCCCCCCCCCCCCCACGCATAACTCCATTAATTTTACTTTTATAATGTTACAATGAAAATATGTATAATTCCCTTCCCTCTAATAAATCTCCCTCCATCCGGAATCTGAGCCATATAACAATTTATTTGTGATAAATACAATCAAACCACAAAAATAATATTTCTGTCTTCTGCCTTCTTGCGCCGTGTTGTCTGATAGAAATTTGAAACGTTTCGGAGGTCCTTGCTACCTCCTTCATCAGGACGACGAGTCAGGACCTCTAAAACGTCGGTAAACGTCCGTCCTAACCGCGGTGATAACCTCAAATCCTACGAAAATCTTTGTTATTTTACCTACTTTTCGCACTTCCCGTGATAATTCACGTGCATTTTATTGGTGATCCTGGATAACATGAAGATTTTGATTTGAATTTCATTTCGAATAGGGATATGGACCGGAGGCGAGAAGCTCAAGGTAGAGTGCAGTGACATGCTTTTGTTGACACGACAATGAACCTGTAGGTTGCAATTCGATTTTTTACCTCACTTTATGCAAGAACCCAAACAATAAATACTTTAGCTGCGAATGAATTTTTGTTATAATTTTAAGAGTCTCGGATAGCTCTGTCAGCAAAGTGACGGCTACTGGTTTGTCCATCAGGTTTCGATTCTCACCAGACGAATGGCTTTCTGATCTCGTATACGTCAAGGCTGTCTGCGGGGTCTACCTGTTTCTTACCCACTGCGTTGGAGGGAAGTTGAGACCATTCACTTTCTTCTCATCTAATTCCGATGTCTAGAATGCTTCGAGCCTCGCGTCAAAGCCAGCCAGGTCTTCATGGTGTATTTATTAAGGTACGAACTCTTCTTATACAAAGGGATATGAAGTCTTGTGTAGCAGATTTCCATTCAACCATCCACACGAGCTCAAATATCGTTCAGGCATTTGGGGTTTGTGTTCAAGTGTACTGGAAAAAATAAAAAACGAATTTACATACGTGACAAAATAAGTCTTTCAGAATGAAACGTCAGCATTGAAGCATAAGATAGAGGGTTTTCAATTTCTGGAGGAATATTAGGCGTATGATGCAAAGATGCTTTATGAAACCTGGGTGGGTTGGCGGGAGGAGGGGGTGCGTATGGTCCTCGAAAGTTTGCCTCCATTGTATCACTTATAAAATGTACTTAGGATGACTCCGAATCAAACCCAGAATATCGGTCAGAGTTTATTCTGGTTCCACCTTTTTATTATATCCCATATTTACTATTGTGCATTACAGTGTCAAAGATCAAAGGGTAGGGATGAACGTCTGTGTCTTACGTTTCTATAAATTTAGATTCCAGGATCATTGGATAACATCCCTCTCTTTTACTCCGCCAATCAACACCATAAAATCCATCTCACCACTTACTGCTTACCTTATATACGGCTTCCAAAAATGCACAAGCATTTTATATTTACCCTGAAGATGAGAACTGCAGTGTTTGGCGAAACGTTTAATAATTTTCAACATTCAACTCGGCTCACCCCCAGAAAACCGAAGTTACGCATGAACCATGCATCATAAGTTATTAATAAAATGATGGCAAAAATATAATAGGCTTTTGGTTTTGCAGTTCCACTCTGGGATTAACAAAATGATGATTTACTCAAAAGTAATATTCAGGGCACGTTTTAATTCGACAGGCACATACCAAAACATGAAATTGTCCTGAAAAACGTATGTCTGCCTGTGTGTGTATGAATGAAAATTCAAGTCTCATTCCCAGCTGTAGATGTATGTATGTATGTCGTCACAAACTCTTATTTTTCAGTGTATGCAGTGACAGGTGGTTTTGACAGCGTGTCACAGGACAACTTTTATTAATGTCAGTTAAAGCATTTTTGCATAAACTTAGCACTCCCAGTACATTGCCCATAATTTATTAACAGCGAATATTTCTGCAGTTTAATTCTAAAAGATTATTAATCAATTTGGAACGTGTGTTATAAAATTATAATCGAGAGCCAGGGTAAAATCTTGAGACGCCTGTTAGGATAACTAGGTTTCCGCTAGGGGAGATCTGGTACCTTTTTATAATGAAATCCCAATGTGATTAGTGTTTAAAACTGAACATATTTCTTACTTTCTGCTTATATTGTGTTAAATATGAACTTCGATGTCTGTGCCATAACATAGATGGCTAAGATGCTACATGCGTCAGCTTTTTATTTATCTCTCGTAATTTTCTCTGTCTTGATCCAATAAACAAGTGCAGTGGACAGTTTGTCAAAACAGAATCATATAAGACGTTACCATGACAATCTGTCAAGAACAATATCTTACAGAACAAAGTTACCAATAACACTCTCTATCTAAAATATAAAATTGTGGGCTGTGATTTATAAGTGTAAAAGTTGATTCCAGGGAGGCTAACAAATTCTGAATCAAATTTATTTTGACCAATTAAATACACGACGTTAATATTTTAACGCTAAATAAATAATCTTAGAATGAATAACTCAGTCAGATATATCAGAGTCATATAAATAAATAATCTTAGAATGAATAACTCAAGTCAGATATATCAGAGTCATGTGTCTGATAATTTATCACTCCAAGTCTATTATCACATTTTAAAAAAAAAGATTGGAAACATATAATGTGACATGTAGCAGGAATCTACCGTGAAATAGTTCTCTTTAGTGAATTCTTTACATCGCGTGAAAAGTTTCTAGATTGATTTATCTTTTAAAAAACGTGTTGGTACTCTCTCGAGCAATCAACGCATGCGCTTTGAAATCACATAGGTCTCTTCTGTTCTGCTGTTACGTATCGTTTTTTGTGTCCATAAACAAATACAGAAGCGCACATTACAGCGGAAGCTGTCCCCTACCGATAACGAATTTTCAAAATACAACGCACGTTTCAAAGTGTTAGCTTTGTATAGCTCCATAGTTATGTGTAAAAGTGGAATATGATATAAGGGAAATGAAATATATTATGTCCGTAGTTAACTTAAATTAGATATCCACTTCTTATTGAAATTAAACACAATAGTTAAAATTAATGTCTTGGGACAACGCATGTCTGAAGTCAAAAATGATATATTCGTGTGAAAATTGATGAAATAAACTTTGTATCCCTGAATAAGAAATAGACGAGAGAAAAAAATTATTCCCTGTGAAATGCAATTTCAATTGTATTTTAACGACACGCGTTTATTAGATACATCGTATATTCATATAAGTAACTGTTTACAGTCTGAGAATACCATGATGTAAAATAAAGTTTCTAACCCCAGCCTACAAAAGTTTCTTAGAGTGTGCGTTTTAAATGGTGCAGACTGTACTTAATATAGGGTAGCTGCTTCTGGAAGGAACCTCTCCCGTTGTACCCCAAAGGAACCACCACTTTAATATTACAGTAATTGAGGACCATCTACACAGTTTCTATACCTAAGCTACTTCGAGGCTGTTCGTAATCCCACGGGGCACTAGACATTGTAACCCACTCACTGCTTCACTTTCTCCTAAGGTTAACGGATATTTGTATGTAGACGGAACACTATTAAACGACACCCATGTCTCATATTTCTTAATAAACTGACGAAGAACTTAGGTGTGTGCTTTCGAGGGCCGTTCTGCATTATGTCCTCAGCATCGCATATGCGTGTCTACTTTTATACTGAGAGAGATGCAGCAAAATTAACACGTCCGAGAGAGTTAAGGTGTCGTCTGATGTGATGTAGGACTGGCAGAGACACTATAGTCTGTGTGCTGTAATACCCAGGTTCGATAACATGTTACTAACTCAGTGGAACAGATTTATTACAAGCTAATAGAACAATCAACTAGTCAAGAAATTACACGGATTTTATTTAAACCGAAGGTTTATTGCCGTGTTTGCAAAATACCTTTACCAGTCCCTGTCCTGAGCCATTTAAATTCAATCCATTCCCCAAAACCAGATTTCTCTAAGATTTGTCTTTCTCCCATCTACGCCTTTCGTCTAGTCTTTTTACTTCAGGATTTCCAACCCAAATTTTTAATCTACACAACCCCCTCCCCCATATATTCTAGTTCTGATTCCAAGACATAAAAATGTAGCTAGTAATTTATTATACAAATTACTGTCCTGGTTAAATTATAATTCATTCGTAACAGGTAACAGTGATTTATAAAACATAAGTTGTTTTATTATCCCTTCCCGAGTGACCAAGGCCTTTTTACAGTTAATTACTGTTTAAATATAGAATAAACTAACTTTATTTTACAAATCGCTAAATTAAAATACGAAACAACACTCATACTGTCTACTTAGTGTCAAAAACTTTTTTTATAAAAAAACACAAGCACACGCTGTCCGTACTGAGTAGTTTTAGCTTAGTGGTAACACTGCAGGATTGAATTTTGGATGTATCCAGATTGGAATTCGGCGTTGATACTGAGAATTCTGACGAGATTTGTCGTGGTTCTCCTCAGATCTTGAAGCGAATACGTCGAAAACAAAATAGAAGCTTGCTCAATATTGTTGCTAATTATGTTTACCCCCTGTTCTGAGACATTATGTCACTATTATCCGGATATATGTATTCCCCTGAAATGAAATTTATCTGAATTTGAGTTTTATCTTTATAGTTGTAACCCTACATATGAAATGTTTTTATTGCCATAATCAATATACAGGATACTGTAATGAGTAGAAATGTGACCACATCATTTAAAAAATTTCGGACCATTACAGTCCATTGAGTGCACTGATACTACATGAGGATGTACTTTGAGTGTCAGTGAGATAATTATTCCGTTTTAATTCTTTTGAAGATTAATAATTGTCAGCTTTTTTACATTAATTTCAGAACATTTTCATTTCCGTGTTTAAATATTAAAACATAAAATATTAATTTTGCTTAATTCCCTTGTTTTATGTCCTTACTTTATCATGGTGGACTGCATAAAATTTAATGAAATTCCACCATCAAATTCGTTTGCGTTCCTGTATTAATCCTCTGGGAAGTGATTAACATGTTTCGTTCTAATAGAATTTTCTAATTGGGTAATAATTGATCCACGCTCTCCATTATGGTTTCCCTAATGAGCCGAGTTCGTGGCTCCGCATGCACTGACCCACAAGAGACCCAGGATTTATTTACAAAGGGCGAGTCATGTCCAACTCATATTCTGTTATTCTTACGTTAAGTGAACCAGAAAAAAATTGAAGAATATCGCAACGTGTAACTTGAACTGACTCGAGTTGTATGTCACTTGTGCGTCGTGCAAGAGACGTTCCGCTATAAAGTAGGCCATTCTTCACTGTAGTCCTGTGTCTTTGGTGTGTGACATGTTAAGCGACATCTTTTCTGACATCTACTTACACACTATAATAAGCCTTTGCTGTTTACATACGATTACAATATCAAATGGATATTTTTATCATAAGAATCTTGGCTTAGAAATGGATAATGATTTACTAAAAAAAAAATTTCCATTCACACTTTATTTAAAAGTTATAAATTGATACATAAATTAAATTAGCTTCCTTGCGAAGTGAATATTTGCTCAATAAGTCTTCTCCCTTCGTGACATGGAACCCTAATCGCTGTACACAGCTCCTGGGTCATATGAATTCATTCCACATACTCGCACTATGGTTTCCTTAGATTATTTTTAATATTATACTACCATCTATGCCTACGTCTCTCAGGGGATCTCCTCTCATCTTTTCCGTCTGCAATCTTCGAAATAAGAACACAAATCCGTCTGAAGTATGTCCAGAGGGCGTACAATCACCATTCTTTAAGATCCTCTATACTATTTACACTTTATAGATTATTTAACGACGCTGTTTTAAATGTAGATTTTACACAGCTTT